GAGAGAGAGAGACAGAGAGAGCAGAGAGAGCAGAGAGAGAGGCAGCTCAGTCACACTTAAATCCAGATTCGTCCTCACCGAGTCCCACCACCAAGGGAGCGCCAGCAAGGAGATGCACATATGGGGATCCCCACGCAGTGAATCATTGTTGTTGTTGTTGTTGTTGTTGAACTCTCACACATGAAACATAATCCCACCAGCCCTTTGGGCGTGAGTGGTTTAGAGAGCCCTCTCTGTCCTCAACCCCCCATCTTCCCCTTCGGGGAGGGGTTTACCCCTCCCCCTACCCCCTCCCCCTGGACCTGGACAGGGAGTCCGGGGCGTAGTCAGGGGGGTCTTTTTTGACTCCTTGGAGGGCCAAAAAACGACGACCCTCACGAGGATTCTGGCCCCGTCGGGGGGATACAGTTTGGCCCCTCTGCTTGTCTTTGAAGCAGAAATCATTGATTTTACGATGGTTTTGGCCCCATTTTGGCCTTCTGAGGGGGCCGCGCTCATCTTCCTCCATAGCAGAATCATTGATTTTACGAAGGTTTTGGGCTCATTTTGTTCTTCTCAGGGGGCAGCTCTCCTTTGCGCTTCTGCGGAGGTCGCAAGAGGCCCCAAGATGGCCCCCAGAGGCCCCCAGGAGGCTCCGAAGAGGCCTCCAAGAGGCCCCCCAGAGGCCCCCAAGCGGCCCCAAGAGGCCCCCAAGAGGCCCCCAAGAGGCCCCAGAGAGGCCCCACGAGGCCCCAAGAAGCCCCCAAGAGGCCCCCAAGAGGCCCCCAAGAGGCCCCCAAGAGGCCCCAAGAGGCTCCAAGAGGCCCCCAAGAGGCCACACGAGGAGCCCGAACGACTCACACCAGGACGAGGGGCCCGAACGACTCACACCACGAAGAGCCCAAACGACTCACACCACAAGGAGGGGCCCGAACGATTCACACCAGGACGAGGCGCCCGAACGACTCACACCACGAGGAGCCCGAACGACTCACACCACGACGCGGGCCCCGAACGACTCACACCACGAGGAGCCCGAACGAGTCACACCAGGAGGAGGGGCCCGAACGACTCACACCAGGACGAGGGGCCCGAACAACTCACACCACGAGAAGCCCGAACGACTCACACCAGGACGAAGAGCCCGAACGACTCACACCACGAAGAGCCCGAACGACTCACACCAGGAAGAAGGGCCCGAACGACTCACACCAGGACGAGAAACCCCAAACGACTCAAATCACGAGGAGCGCTTTCTCTCCCTCCTCCTCCGCCTCGTCCTTCTCCCGCTCCCCCCACAAGGAGGATGTACAAGGAGGCGGGAGGAAGGAGGAACAGGTGAGATATGCGGGGCCAAGCGGACACACGCCTGAAAAACACGACTGTCGGAATGCTTCGCAAGAGTTGCTGCTGTGAGATGGGCTGGTGGGGATACGCGAAGCGTAAAGAATTATAATTGATCCCCCTCCTCCGGAGCAGATGGTGTTTTTCACTTGAAATGCCCTTCCGGGGGCTCGCACCCTGTTCGTAACATTATGTCTCTGGCCCCCGGTTTACAACAACAGCGGCTCCCGCCTGATACGTCCTCGCAACTTATTCCCCAAGCGTGTTTTCGCGCGGAATTTCCTCACAACTTATGCAGAAATCGCGCTCTCTTTTGGGACTTCCTCTTGATGCTTTCAGACGCCGCGCATCGACACTCAGGGATCACGCTCTCGCTGTGATGTTCCTCACGATTTATTTGGGAATCGCGCTGTCGCTCGAAACTTCCTCGCGATTCATGCAGGACGCACGCTTCAGCAACCCGCCTGCTCGATCTGGCCGCCAGGGCCCGCCTTCCCGACCTGCCTGTTAGGGTCTACACACCCGATCTGCCCTTCTGGTTCTGCCACGTGTTTTCTGCTCCTAGCCCCCCCTCTTGCTACTCTCTCTCGTGTTCCATCCTCCTCCCTCCCCCTTGTTCCTTCCGTCCATCCGTCCTTTCTGCCCCTGCCTTGAGGGCTGCCCGAAATACACAGTGAAGGTAAGAAAGAGATACCTCCAAGGGGGTACGATCGAAGACGAAGAATGCTGGTATCGAGGGTTTGGGAGTTACGTGTTGGGTGGCACATGAGCAGGCAAGAGCAGTCAGTCTTACAATTATTGTTGCTGTTGCTGCTGGTGTTGCAGTTGCAATTGCAGTGAGAACCCATTTCTTAACAACACAACTATTGTTGATCTCTCCTCCACTTTCCAATTGAAGTTCCCTTCCCCGGGCTCGCACTTTTGTCCAGGGACAGTCTTCAGGGTCAAAATGGCACCCTGGTCCCGACCTGCAACAACAGCGGCTCCCGCCTGATACTTCCTCACCAGTCATTGAACACTCAGGTTTTCGCCCGAGGCTTCCTTGACATAGACCCAAGAATCGCGCTCACGCTTCACACTTCTCCACAATTTATTCAAACGCCGCTCCTCGACACTCAGGAATCGCGCTCTTACTGTGCACCTTCTCACGGTTTGCTTGGGGCTCGCGCTGTCACGAAAGATTTCCTAGCAAATCACACCAGGTTCGCGCTCCAGCGACCCGCCCGCTCGACCCGCCCGTCGGGGCCCACCCGCCCAACCCGCCCGTTAGGGGCTGCACTCGCCGTTCGCTGCCCTTCGCCCGCCTTCGATGCCCCTCGCTGCCCGTACTGGTTCCGCTGTCGCCTTCGCTCGCACCCTTCGTGGCCCCCCCCTCTGCACTCAATGGCCCCGTCGCTGCCTTTGGTCCCGCATTCTATGCCCTTCGTGGCCCCCGCTCGCTCGCGCCCTTCGTGGCCCCTTCGCTGCCATTCGTGGCCCCCTTACTGCCCTTCGTGGGCCCGCTGTCACCCTTTGTCGCCCCTTCGCTGCCATCCGTGGCCCTCTCGCTGCCCTTCGTGGCCCCGCTGTCGCCCTCTGTGGCCACGTATACGAATGCCCTTCTCGGCACCCGCTCGTTCGCGCTCGTCGTGGCCCCATATGCATGCCCTTCGTGGCCCCGCTGTCACCCTTTGTGGCCCCTTCGCTGCCCTTCGTGGCCCCGTCTGCGTATGCCCTTCGTGGCCCTCGCTCGCTCGTGCCCGTCATGGCCCCACATGCGTATGCCCTTCGTGGCCGCACTGTCGCCCTGCCTGGCCCCCTCGCTGCCCGTCGTGGCCCCGCTGTCGCCAAGCGCCCCCAGAATCGAATCGATGAGTCGGATCGGCGATCGAAATGGATCGGATCGACGGACATCGGCAGCCGAGTCGGGAAAAGTCGAATCGGCGGGAATCGACAGGCTGGTATGCCTCCAATCAGCAATGATAACCCAAATCGGGACCCCAAGTCGAATCGAATCGGAATCGGAAGCCATCGAAATCGAACCAGAGCGAATCGGAGGAGTCGAAGTGAGCCCTGGCTGTCGCCCTTAGTGGCCGCGTTTACGTATGCCCTTCGTGGCCCCCGCTCGCTCGCGCCCGTCGTGGCCCCGTATACATGCCCTTCGTGTCCCCATCTGCGTGTGCCCGTCGTGGCCCCCGCTCGCTCGCGCCCGTTGTGGCCCTATATGCATGCCCTTCGTGGCCCCGCTGTTGCCCTTTGTGGCCCGTTCGCTGCCCTTCGTGGCCCCCTTGCTGCCCTTCCTGGCCCGCTTCGCTGCCTTCTGTGGCCCCGCATACGTATGCCCTTCGTGGCCCCCGCTCGCTCGCGCCCGTCGTGGCCACATTACTGCCCTTCGTGGCCCCATTGCTGCCCGTTCTGGCCGTGCTGTCGCCCTTCGTGGCCCCCTCGCTGCCCATCGTGGCCCCTTTGCTGCTCTCAGCGGCTCCGTCCGTGACCTTCGTGGCCCCATATACGTATGCCCTTCTTGGCCCCCGCTCGGTCGCGCCCTTCGTGGTCCTCGCGATTCGTGCAGTGCTCACGCTTCAACAACCCACCTGTTCGGCATGGCCACTCGGCCCACCTTCCCGACCTTCCCGTTAGGGTCTGCCCGCCTGATCAGCCCGTCTGGTTCTGCGACGCGATTTCTGCTCCTAATTCGCCCCCCTCCTGCTAATCTGAATTCGGGCTTGTCCCCCTACAGGGGGATTTCCGACGAACAATAAAAAAGACCCCCCAAATGCTCCAAAATGGTAACAAAAATACTAAAAAGATAGTCCCCATACTATTTTTGGACTATCTTGGAATGTTCCTCCTGTAGAGGGACAGGCCCGACTTAATGCCAATCCCGTGCTCCATCCTTCCCCCTCCCCGTCCCATCCGTCGGCAACAATCTGCTGCGTGCGCGGCCTCGAGCGGGAGTCCAAGTGCGAGCCCTGCCCCCGAGTGGCACGGCCTCGACCGAGCACCAGGAAGCCCAAAGGCCGAGGATCTCAACGAATCCGAGGAGGCCCTCCCCCTGCTCCCCCTTCGTACTTGACTTGACTAGGCAGTCTGGAGGTGCAGAGACGGACAACGCTGGGACTGGCCTCGCAATAGGATCGTCGCTCCGCTCGCGAGGGCTCTGCCATCAAGGTGCGGTAGATCACGAGCGGCGAACATATCCGTGTCCGCGCCCTCGCGGTCTGGACTCCGGGGCGCGATCCCGCAGATACGCGGTCGCACGGATACTTTCCGCGCGCGCGGGGCATCCTCGAACAAAAACGCCCCGTGTCCGCAGGGTCGCGGATATCCGCACCCGCGCCCTCGCGATCTGGACTCTGGGGCGCGATCCCGCAGATACGCGGTCGCACGGATACTTTCCGCGCGCGCGGGGCATCCTCGAACAAAAACGCCCCGTGTCCGCAGGGTCGCGGATATCCGCACCCGCGCCCTCGCGATCTGGACTCTGGGGCGCGATCCCGCAGATACGCGGTCGCACGGATACGCTCCGCGCGCGCGGGGCATCCTCGAACAAGGACGCCCCGTGTCCGCCGGGCCGCGGCCCCAGGGGGGCCTGGCCCGCGCGGCGGCAGCGGTGATGTCTCCACCCCACGCGAGACGGGCTCTGGCTCTCTCTGTGCGCCCTCGCGATGCCCTGCCCGCCCAGCGCCCCGCCCGTCCTCTCGCCGGTGGCGCTGCTTCCCGCCCCGCGTGCGACCGCGCCGTCGACGGCGGGAGGCGCCCCTGCCCCCCCCCCCCTACCCCGCTCTCAAGAGCTCCGCGCGGGCCCGGCCGGGCGCTGCGGCCGGCCGCGGCGGGGGCTGCCTCGAAGCGCCGCGCCCGGCCGGGCTGTTCTGGTGCACGCCCAGGCCAAGCCAAGCTAGAAGTCATCAGGGAGCCTGTCGCCTCGTCGGCGCATGTGGAGCGAGCAACCACGACAGCCGAGAGCGAATTAAGATGACAATGTACGGCCAAGTCTCTGAGGTTTCCAGACAAGAGAAAGCTGGAACAATCGAATCTGAACCTGTAGCCGCAACTCAATGTCGCCTGCGCACGAATGCTTCAGCATCGCAACTAAGTTGAACTAGTCCGAGCTAGTTTTGACTGGACAACCAACACGAGTCCAAACTAGGCTAGGCTGGTACGCTCAACAATCTAAACCCGAGCTAAGTATCTAGTGTAACCAAGACTACATGAGACTAGGCCCAGCTGGGGTGTGCCAGGGTGAGCGGCATAGCGCACAGAAGCGGTAGGCATACCCACTTGGGAACTATACCAACGACCACTGATCCCGCAACGCATGGCCTGCTCCAAAATTTCTGGCCGCGACCGCGTACGTCCTCCGTACGCAAACGCAGTTGGAGAACATGCAGACTTGGCTGCCCTGACACGTAACACGCAACCCTGGGCGTGTTGACGCGCAGCTCAACACGTACATTCAAAACGTGTGTCGGGCTGCGTACATTCGCCAAAACGTAAGCCGACATTTTGAACCGAAGCACAACTTATCGACCAGGTACGTCTTGAACACGGAGCGTGTTGCGTTTCAAGACCTGGGCGTCTCAGGGCAGCGAAGCAAGCAGAAGACAGGGGTGGCGGGTGGGGGGGGTGGTTGAGGAGGAGGAGGATGAGGAGGCGGAGGAGGAGGAGGAAGAGGAAGAGGAGGAGGAGGAGGAGGAGGAGCAGGAGGATCGGAAGGGAAATGAGCAAAATGCGCCTGTGCAAGCAAGTATTCTTGTAATAGAGGGCGTAAGCCCTAAGAACACACATGATGTGGTAGTCTGTGAACCTCACTCTGTTGCTTCCGCGCACGCTCTCGCAACCTGCGCCCGCATCTTCACATTGCCTCGGCTTCCAACCCCCTGAAGACGACTGAACTTTCTCGGGACTTCCTTCGGCTCAATCTTGCCCGCTTCCATAATTTGCTCCAGCCGGCCTCGGCCAAGAAAACATATTTCTGGCAACCCCACTGGTTTCAAGGACGGGAGAAAAATGACACACCTTATTCTGAATTGGGCAATGCGCATACGTACACGGACCGCCCCAATAATGGATGCAGCAACACATTTTTTTCCGTCGCGTCGCGGCAGAGGCAATCCGCTCGCGCGAGTAGCAACACCGACTCAACAACAAACATGCATGTGCGTACGCAGCGTTACCCAATCGATGAGCGGGTGCACCTACAACCGTATATTCGTTAGCACCCACTCGACGCAAGTTTCTGCTGGAGGCATCTGCTGTCTTCCCTGGCGTGCAAAATAGCTTGTTCACTAAACAGATCGGCTCACTGGGGGGCTACCATGACTTACCTGCGCCATCGTTTTTTCGGGTCCACTACGCCTGCATCAATCCCTGTACTGATCACACTGGCTACTGTTTGTTTTGTATTTCGACTTGCTCCCAAGACACTGGATAGAAGATTGCTGGAACACAGTTCACGTAGCGGAATCCTGCGTACAGGAGGGTCTATGCACAAATCATTCGAGCAGTAGTGGAACTCTGTGTGCTGGTGAAACATGGCATGTGCGCATACATCAGCTATTCGACGCAAGACTTGTACCGATACGCTGATCGCTCACCTCCACTCTGTATCTTGCAATTCCACTCTAGATCGCCCCGTGTACCGCTGTCAGAAGCTGCGGAAGTGCCAGCACCGCCAGCAGCGTGTGGGGCCTGCTCTCGCAAGAGAAAGATCAACGATCTTCAGCAAGCGCAAGCGCATTCAAGCATGCTACCACTACAAATTCAGGTTGCGTGAGTCGGCCAAATAATCGCAAGCACTTCGCACCACCGATTCTTCCTGTATGTGACATTGCAGTCAAGGGCGGGCCATGAGACAAACACCGTACAGGCCTCGGAAGAAATTAGCGAACACTCGTGTCGCATTCATCTGTCAATGCCCCCCTCCCCCCATGCTCAATGTTGGCGAATTGAACTTCGACCGCGGTCTTCCCCGCGCGTGCCAACTTCGAATTTTGGGTAAAGGGGGTGCGTCCAGTACTTGTTCCCCCCTACCGTATCATTATTCGAAGGTCGTAAAGCATAACACCAGCGTAGGTGCGAATTCAACATGGGGTATGCAACAATTGAGACATCGTTGACCGCCAAGCGCGCTCACTCGTGAAACCTGATCGGACAAGAACGGGAAGCGCCGCTGTAGTCAAATGGGCGTATTGGGCGAAGAAGAGAAGGAAGGCGAGGACAACGAGGAGTCGATGGCGAGGACGACGTGGCGACCGTGGGGATAGCGAGGAGGAGCATGAGGACAACGAGGAGGAAGAGAAGCACAAGGACGAGGACGAAGAGAACGAGGGCGAGTACGAGGAGGAATGCGGAGGGCGATGATGACGACGACGACGACAGAGGACAGTACGAGGCAATTGGAGAAAGACATTGCTCCTGGCGCCGCGCGGGGTTCTCTTGGGGCTTGTTGGGGGCTTCTTGGGGGCCCATTGGGTCCTCTTATGGGCTTCTGGGGTCTTCTTGGGCTGTCTGGGCGCTTCGTGGGGTTCTGTGGGAGCTTTCTTAGGCCGTCTCGGCGCTGGGGGCCTCCTGGGGCGCTCCCGGGAGTCTCTTGGGGCCTTCTTGGCCGTTCTTGGGCCATCTTGGGGTTCTTGTGAGCTGTCTGGGTGGCTCCTAGAGCGCTCTTGGGGGTCTCTTGGGGTCTTCTTGGGGCGCTCTTGGGCGCTCCTCTCTCCGGGGCGTCTTTTGGGCCTCCCCTGGGCCGTTGGAAAACACTCCAAGAGCGATTCGAACACGACGTCGATGCGGAGCCCTCTCGGGCCGATTTTTGGAGGATGTCTCGAGAGAAACGGCCATTTTTCAACAATCCGCCAGCGTAGTTTCAAAGTGCGGCGCGTACCCGATTATGAATTTTGACCACCAACAAGCGGTCCACGCCAGGGGCGCTTCCCGTCATGCAGCGTGCAGCGATGCTGTCAAACAGAAGAGTCAGTAGCCTTGGCAGCTGCATGGGCCTCATGAACAGGAAGGGTTTGCCCCCTCCAGGCTGCTACCCATCAGGGGAGGGAAGCACCTGGACGTTGCATCACCCACGCTGCCGAATCCGCCGTCGTGTCGGCGGGAACTGAGCTCGGTGCCCTGCAGTCCCTTTCGTAGGGGAACGAAGAGTGACATAAGCATAAAAACTCGGAGGTCCGCGCTGGCGACTGAAATCTCGGCGCCGAGACCCCTCAAGCTCTAGGAGAGCGAAGAAGCGACATAACATAAAAACTCGGAGGTCCGCGCGGATTTCTTGGTTCCGCGCTGGACCCCCCTCCCTGGCGCGCGGAGCGCGCCAGGGGCGGCGCCGGAGGCGCCGCAGAGGGGGTCCAGCTCGGATCCGAGAGATCCGCGCGAACCTCCGAACTTTTACGTTCGCTCTTCGTGCCCCGATTGCGATACTTCAACTAAGAAGGTATGCCATGCAAGGGGCCCGGAGCCCCCCACTGCCAGCGACTCCCGGCGCCGCCCGCACGACTCTGAGGGGAGGCCGGAGAGTGCCCCGAGGCACGGGCCAACATGGGCCCAAGCTGGTCCAAGGAGGCCCCCAGGACGGCCCGAGAGCGATCCAAGACGGCCAGAGATGGCCTCGGACCAGCCCTCAATAGGGTAACGAAGGATGACATAAAAAACATCGGAGGTCCGCGCGGGTTTCTCTAAACATAACAACTCGGACCTCCGAGTTTTTACGTTTATGCCACTTTTTGTTCCCCTAGAGATGGCCTCGGACCAGCCCTCAAGGCCTGCAAGTCGCTCCCGAAGGGCTCGAAGATCGCCCCAAAGGGGTCCCCCAACGGCACAGGTCACGGACTTTCTGTGCTCCAGCACTGCGTAGCACGTGCATGGGTGGGTCAATCGCGATGGGGCTGGGACCAGATTTCCTATGCCTTCTTGTTTGGTTTTGTTTTTTTGAATGGGTGTAGGGCTGGCCTTGCCTCCCTGGGGGCGGTGGATTTTGGCTGCTGCTGCCTCGTCGCCGCTGTCCTCAAATTCATCGTCGTGCCTGTCCTGTCGGCCTGTTCTGCCGGTCGGTCCCGCCAGGGCGGTCCCGCCGGGGCGGTCCCGCCGGGGCGGGGCCTGGCCTCCTCGGCGGGCGGTGGGCTCCCCTCCGAGGCGCCATGGGCCCTGCTTCCTGGGCTGCCGGGCGAGCGCTTCCTGCCTGCTCGCAGGGAGACGGCGCGCTTGGCGCCGCGCGCCGCGGCGCCCTCTCGGCAGCGTGCAGCTGCGCCTGCACGCGTGCTCTCGCGGATGTCTCCCCGCCCTCCCGCCCCTGGCGGGCGGTGTTCTGCGGGTGGTCGCGTGGCTGTGCCGTTGGGGCTCGGTGGTGCGACCCCTGGGCCCCAGGACCGGCACAGCAGGGCAGCAGGGCACATCTCTACGGTTTTGCTCCTGTGGGGGCCAGCGGACAGGTTTTGATTCAGCTCTTAAAGGATTTTAGCATTTTCGTCGCTTCGGGCTTCCGACACCCCAAGGTGGCCCAAGAGGCCCCCGAGACGGTCCAAGAAACTCCCAACAGGGCCTCCTGAGGGGGTCGCGAGGGGGAAGTCGAATGGACTTCTGGAGACTTTCCCTCCAAAATGGCTCCCAAGGCCTCCGACCTGACTCCAAGAGGCTCCCAAGAGGCCTCAGATGCCCTCAAGACGCCTCCAATGGCCGCCCAAGAGGCGCCCCAAAGGCCTCCAAGAGGCCCCGAGAAGCGCCGGTCCAAGAGGCCATCAAGATGGCCCTAGAAAGGCCCCGAAGGACCCCACGATGGGCAAAGAGGCCTCCAAGACGGCCCAAAAAGCTGCCAACATGGCCCCAAGAACGGGCCCAAACGGTGGGGCCCGTACGGATATTTCGAACCGTCGGCCCCGAAAAATTCCATGTGGTCCCCAGGAGCCTCCAAAAGGCTCACAAGCTGCCCGAAGAAGTCCCCAAGAGGCCTCCAGGACCCCCCCAGAATTTCAAAATAAATCCCAGATGCCTCCCAAGAGTCTCCCGACCTGGCTCCCCATGGGTCCCCGAAGGCACTCCGAAAAGACCTCGAGAAATATCCCTGAGGAATCCGACCCACAACCAATACACGGTGGCGCGATGGGCCCAAACCCATTCGGCATGCGACGGCCTTGAACTCGAACGTCGTTTCCAGACGCCGAAGCTGATGAAACATCTCCGGAAATCAAAAATGTCAGAATGTACCACAAAAGCCTGGCTCGCTCCTCCTCCTCTTCCTCCTTATCCTCCTCCTCCTGCCCCTCGAATTTCCGTTTTCCGAAATGTCCTCCGTTTGTGGCATTTGTGGCCGTTTTCGGTCTCCGGGACCATCCGCAACGGATCCAGGATAACAGCATGCGTTTCTGGGGTGCCAAACTCGTTCCGAACGGCCGCCAAAGGCCCGAGGTATACTCTGACTACCGGATCCTGACGTGTCCTCCTCCTCCCCCTCCCCCTCCTCCTCCCGCGGAACTCGGTCTCCCAATCGGTCACCCGAGCGGGTATCATGTGCACGAATTGCACTTCAGCGTGGGGTGAAATTTGTTTTTTTCGGCGCACGCGACATTGCCACGCGCCGCTGGGGACTCCGACGTTGGCATTTTGAGGGGGGCGCGTGCCGCTGCGCTGATGCGCCCGCCACCTGCGCGCCGTGAGCCCGGGCTCCTGGCAATCTGCAGCCCGAGGTCCAAGCCCGAGGCCCAGTCTGCGCGCCTCGCGGGCTCCTGCTTCCTCTTTCGACGTTCTTCAAATTGTCCCTTCTTCAAATGTTCCGTGTCCGAGAAAGCGCCCCCGAAAGCCGCGCGCCTCAGCGGCTTCTGCTTCCGCTTTGGCTTTCAGTTTGCGATTGTTCGGCTCGTGCGTCACCTCCTCGCGCTCCTCCGCGCATAGCCGACGCAACCTCTCCCTGGATGCGTTGTGCTTCCTCTGCGCTTCTGACGTCGCCGCCTTGCCTCCGAAAAGAGACAGGCACTTGCTGCTCGGACGCCGTGCGTGCCAACGCTCGCGTTCCACTTCGCGTTGCCGCGGCGCGATTGCTGTTGTGCCTGAACGTTGCCGCATTTTGCACAATGCGTTGTCCGAAAACTTTTCGGGTCCTCCGCGTTGCCGGCTTCTTCGTCGCTTCTGTCGCCGCCATGCCGCGTCGGTTCATCGCCATCCGTTTTGGTTGCCCGTGCTTTGCGCGTCGTATTCCGCTTCTCGCCACTATTTTCACATCCGCCGTGCGTTCCTTACAGAACGCCAGCCTCTTTTTCCACTGGAACTCATACACCGTGAACGTCTTTGTCTGCAGACTCCGCCGGCATCGCTCGCGCTGGTCGCGCGACGTTAGTTCTGTCTTCCATCCTGCCCAATCCGCGCCCTCTCCTCGGGGTGCCCACAACAGCTGCACGCGCGTGATGGCAACGTAACTTGGCTTCCAACTCACGCTGCACCCTCTTTCAGGGCCCGCTATGACTGCGCCTCTGTTCGGCCTTGCCCCGCGTGCGCTGTTACTGTCAACGATGGCTTAACAATGCACTGAATGCGCCTAGCACTCGACGCAGGATGCTTCCGATGCCCGTTCAAGAACCACTGGCGTCTTTTCGATGGGAAGATCGAGTGCAGCCCTGGCCCCCAGCCCTGAATATGCTAGTTCTCCGCGTGGAAAGCTAGCAATGCGACTCTTGGCGCATACAGCAAACCTCCCCGTCATC